TCAAAAGAGATAAATCAATTAATGGGAGAATAGAAAATCCACAAATAAAGCTTTTCAACATAGTAGTTCAGTGGGAAAAAAATCTTTTTAACAAATGTTGCTTGAACAAGTACATAGTTATACAAAACAACAACAAAAACAGCAACAAAACCTCAAATCTTACCTCACCCTGTATATAAATATTAACTCCAAATGGATCATTAACCTAAATGTAAGAGCTATAACTGGAAAACTTTTAGAAGAAAAAATAAGAAAAAAATCTTAGTGACATTGGTTTTGATGCATATTATGCACCCAGTATACAAACCATAAAAAAACTCTAAAAAAAATTAAAATGAAAAGATTATTTTTGAAAAACACTGTACATAAAATGAAAGTGCAAGTCACATACTGGAAAAAAATATTTGCACAAAATATATATGATAAAAAACTTGTACTCAGGATATATAAAGAACTTTCACAATTTAATGATAAGACAAACAACCCAATAATTAAAAACTGGGTAAAAAATTTAAATGGACAGTTCAGCACATAAACACATGAAAAGATGGTCAACATTATTAGTTACTAGGGAAATGCAAATTAAAATCACAAGAAAAAAATTCTCAATGAGCTACCACTACATACCCACTAGAAAGGCTAAAATTGAAAAGGTACTGTTTGGCAAGGAATGGAGCCACTGGAACTCTGATACACTTCTGGTAGGAATATAAAATACACAACTACTCTAGAAAGCCACTTGGCAATTCCTTCAAAAGTTAAACTTACATCTACCATGCTACACAGCTATTCTACTCCTAGGTATTTACCCAAGAGAAATGAAAACATATTCCCACACAACGACTTGCACACTAATGTTCAAAGCAGCTTTATTTGTAACAACCAAAAGCTGAAAATAATACAAATGTCCATTAAGAGGTGAGTGGATAAGCAAATTGTGGTATATCATAACAACGGAGTGTTATTGCTTTTATTCAGTGATAAAAAGAATGAACAAATGATACTTGCAAAAACATAGATCTATCTCAAAATAATTATGCTGAATGAAAGAAGCCAGACATAAAAAGAACACACAATGTAGATTGCATTCCAGAAAATGTAACCTAGTCCATAGTAACAGAAAGCATATCAAGGGTTGCCCGGGGAGGGGGATTGGGGTGTGGGTATGGGGAGGCAGTGGGAGGGAGAAACTGATTATAAAAGAGCATGAGAAAACTATTGTGGGTGATGGTTATGTTCATAATTAGGATCATGTGATGGTGTCAACATATGCAAGATTCTTCAAATTGTACACTTAAGTTAGAGTTTACTGAACATCACTTACTCCTCAAAAAGCTTTTAAAATGTTCATTATTGGATAAAAAATTATATTTTCCATTATGATATAACTAATATAATAAGCACCATATTTCAGCCATTGTTAAGGATCAAATATCTAAAATTTGAAATCCTAGTTACTAAGAACTTAGAGAATATTTAAATTGATATGTTTTCTAAAGAGTTCTCTGGATAACTAAATAAGTTGCTACTTCCTATGAGCTCCCAGAGTGCCTTGATAAATATTTCTATAATAGCCTTTCTCACATAGAATTTAATTATGAGTTTACGTGTTGGCTTCCCACTCTATTCCTTTCCCCTGAGGACTTTGGGGACTGACCATTTCTGGCCTAGTACAATCCTTAGGACATGTTA